TCTAGAATTAGGGATTCGATAAAATTGGCTTTCCACTTGGCACCAATTAGGCCTACCCCTAGGAGCTTCGTCTACCATATTTGACTTTCTCTTACAAAGAAGGCCTACAGGTGCTTTCGTCTCTTTCTTATCAAAGAGCTTTCTTGCTCCGGGTTTAGTATTTAATTTATTTACTTCTTTTTCCCCTATCTTATGATTATCTGGCTGATGATGGCTAACAGGGCAGTCAGCACATGCTATGTAGGGTTTCTGTGGCTTGAACACCTCATGAGCTTTAGTTTTCTTAATGGAAATGGGACGTTTGTCATAACGCCTAGAAAACTTGCCAACTTGGGTGGCTACATTCGACTGGTGCTTTACAGAGTGTGGATTGTCAGACAGAGGAGTAACTGACTTATAAGGCAATGGTTGGACCACCAGTGGGATGGGTTTTGATGGTTTCGGTGTCTTGACTTTTGCGTCAGTGTGAAAACGATGTATTTCAACATTATTTCCCGTTGACTCATCTATGTCCACCATTTCAGTGTCTGCATCAATATCGTTATATAATGCTTGGCTAACATTAGCCACTACCTGCGAAAATGTCTGTTGCATGCCGTGATCAGATATTTCAATAGACGGAATAACGCACGGAACATCATCTACAGTTATCCTATTAGAGTTATCAGGGTTCACTGTTCCTGAGCGGCATCGCCTTTGGCATGGTGTTAAATCAGGTGCAACCCTAATGTTAGTGTATGGTGTTGAAGAGCCTATTTTCTTACCCGATTTCAGAAAATTCCTGGCTTCTTCGGTAGACCTAAACTTGAAAAGCACAGGACACGGGTGGTTTGCAGATTTCTTACGAAGACGCAAGACCTGACATTCTGTCAACGACATATTACAAGCCTTTAGACACGAATTCTTAAGTTTGGCAATCGGCTCTCTGTCTGGAATGTTATAGGCCAAGACGTTATGTGAAGACATAATCCTCTTAACAGCTTCTTCAGCCAAATAGTCAATTATGCGCTCGGATTTGATTAGTGATTCAAAACAGATGTTTTGTGGTGGGTCACACAGTTGCGTGAGAGGCATAATGCTGTCAAACTTGCTCTGTAGTTCTGCTATTGACTTCTGAAGTGTCAGTAAATCATTTTTGCTACAAGCCGCATTCTCTGCTAATTCCTCCATGATATCAGATACCATAACTCTGGGTATGGCTGGTGTAAACAGTGTAGAATTGTCAACGGAGCTGAGGCCTTCAGATGGCTGACTAGTATTAGATCTCAGTCTCTTAACGGTACTTACACGTTTGATAGACTTAACCATTACAGAAATAAGAAACTTCACAATTTCCGGAAAAAAAGTCTTGAGGATATGAAAATAAGATAGCTGTATTATCGAAGTATCAAAACAACAACGATAAACAGATTTATATTGCAAAAATAAAAAGTCAGACTTTCCTTTACAGAGTTTGCTGTGGATAAAGTCCTGAGTTCCACGTAGTTAGATATGGTATCCGAGGATTCTTGACGTAGATTTCACGAGTGAATGCTATATGTTGTTCCAGTTGATACAATACAATCCTTGTTGACTATGGATAACTGGATAATGTGATGAAAGCGGCTAATTTCCAAAATATTAAGGAAAGATGATTCACGCAGAAAGTGAGCACCCGTAGCGCAAGCGTTCAAAAATTAATGTTGCTGCCGAACGACCTTTGTCTACACTTTCAGTAATGTGGTCGAAATAATCTAACTGGCACGTAATGCACGATCTTCTATTTAGGAAACCGTATTGGAAAGAGGATATTAAGTCATTCGAGAGCAAATACTGAACAATTTGCTTCTTTACAATCTTTTCCATCACACGTGAAACTACGGAAGTAATGTTGATGGGGCGGTAATTATCTATGTCCGCTGTATGTCCGGTTTTGTGAATGGGTACAACGTAGGATTTCTTCCAGCTATTTGGATATGTTCCACTCCTTATCGAAGTTGAAAATATCTTGAGAAGAAGTAGATTCATGTCATTTCCACCATTTTTAAGAGGACGGAAGACATTCCATCTGGTACACACAACCCACAAGTATAGGTTTACTTCTGACAACTTTTATTTCGACCCAGATCGAGTCATTGAGTTGTGACAGAATTGGGTTACTAAACTGGGTTGCACACATGGATTGTTCACAGTAAATTAGTGTTCCACCCCCACGACCTGTCCGTCTGTCCCCTCTAAAAACGTTGTATTTATCAATCCTTAGGCTGTCATTGGAGATTTCACTTGTGCACCAGGCTTCGGTGATCATAATCAATGACGGTTTGCATACAGAAGCTATTGTACATAGTGCTAAGTGTTTGCTTAGAACTGATCTCGTATTTACTAGGATAATAGATAAACACTGGCTATGTGGTTTCAGTGAGCGGACAACATCTTGGTGAAATAATCCGTGAGTATCCTCTATATACTTGTTATCAGACTCATTTACCAATATCTTTGGATCGTAGGAAGACTTCAGGTAGATTTTTGAGGTGGTAGTCAGGGATGGGCTTACGTTTGGATATGGTATGCAATGAGAGACAACTGTGTGATAATCAGATATTAATATTGTAGAGATATTAGTATCCGCGTTTGGTGTCGGCACTGTGTCAGCTGTCTCCCAGGAAATATGCCTTGCCCTAGCTGTAGACTGTTCGCTATGCCAGCAAGGAATTGATCCGATATCATGCGTGCTATATGCATGATCCCGGGTGTTTCTGTTAACTGACGCTGGTGAAAATCCTGCCCTAGGGTATAACCGATATGTGTATTCGGTAATTTGTTGCCAGTATAAGAATGAATTGTTCGTATATGTTTCTGGTATTCATCAGACCAGGACAAGTTTTGTGCAGAAATCGGCACATGCTACCCACGTTGCATTCCCACGTTATTTGCGTTGATAGGCATGTTACTTCTAGTTCAGGAAGGGGTATTCCTTCTCACATGCTGCGTGACGTCTTTGGGAATGTGCTTCGCTACCCATGCGTTGTCATTTTTTAGACCGACACGCTCCTTATTAGACTTATTGCGAGGGAGGTATGTCGAAGTCTCGGGTGGGACTCTGGGTATTGTGGTCTATTTTGCCGATTAAATCATTCACTCCATACGTTGCTTCGATCCTTTATAGCACTAATCAAGTTAGCTAACGTCAGCGGGTGATTAATAACTATACAGAAATAATGCACCATATAAACATTAATAAAATTTCGTCAAATAACTTGTAGTTTAAAGGAAAAGGAGATAATTACTATAAAAGATAAGAAAGAAGAGGACGAAAAAATCTCCCTAAAATTAAGAAATAGACGTATTAAAGATCCTCAATATATACCAACAACTAAGTGATGACGAAAGGAAGAGTAATCCTCGGTAACTGGGATGTCTATGTCGGGTTTGTGTCGAGCCTGCTCTAAGAGGGTGTACACAAATACGGGTGTTGGCTTGTCAGCAACAGTCCAATTGACTGGCTTGAGAATTTAGAGTAGGGTGAGATAGAGACTGACTACTCACTCGGTAAGCAAACAGTATGCGTTGACGTTAATTAGTGGAGATTGTGCTAACTAGAGATGGTTATTCACCGAGGAGGAGACGAGACAATCTTGAGTTCTAGTTGTCTGTTTGTGGTGAGGACTTTGAAGCACGCTGAAAGCCAGACGGTCTTCCCATCTCCCCAAGGAGTTTGCAAGTGAGTCGAGTTGGTCAAGGAGTGGAAGTGATGTGCTTTGCCTAATACCCTGACTAACTGGAAAGAAATCAAGGTATTCCTCACTCATTTATTACCACCCACGGCACAAACTTCATCGCAAATCATCGTCATTGTCATCACAGCCTGTCATATCCGACGTGGTTGTTGTCTGCCTCCTTTGTACAGAGAGATTTCCCATGACATTACTTCCTATTCCTGAATCGTGCCGCTTTTCTACTTCTTCTTACACTTTGTTGAATTGGACGGGAGCCAAACACAGCCATGCTAAGTCCATCACAATCAGACAAGTATTGATATAACCAGGTCGTCTCTCTCGTCGGCAGTACGTGCATGATCACAAATGCTCCGTTATGCGGAGGAAGAGACCAAAGCTTACCCTCATGAGGCATCTTCCTCTGGCCGTTTCTCATCGACAACCTATCCAGGTACCCGAGGAAGCAACGAATAAGGACGGCACAGACGAAGACGCCAAAGCCAAAGGCGAAGCAAACCTACACTACTCTGAAGCCAGTCGGGGAACCTTTGGCACTAAGCATAAACTCGAGATTCGGATTTTAAACACTAATGCCAAGTTGGTCAGTTCTCGTATATGGTCCAAGGAATTAGCGCGTCACCAGAAACACTTCCAATGGGCTACAGACTTCTACCAACACTCGCTTTCACTGACCCGCTAACGAAGATCGGACGGTCAGAAAGGATTGACAATAAGAAACTCTGCCAACCGACCAAACAAGAACCTATCGCCCAACAAATATGCCGACGGAAATGGAGATTGATGAGACACCCTCTGAGAAGATCGTTGAGTGATATCGCATACCAGGCAGGCCTTCGAGTAGAACCCGATTGGGAAACGACGAGTTGGGTGTCCGAGATTGAAGTGGATGAGATCGTGTGAGGCGGAGATGAGAGTCCACGAGCAATCTTGGAGCTAGCAAAAGATAACCTCAGAGGACAGGATGAAGTGGAGATGCGCTGTTGAGGCTCTGTGTCCCACTAGGAACCTAAGGGACTAATAGTAATGACAATAATAATGATGACAAAATGTCTGGTCACTCTTTTCAGCAGTCATAACATTGTCACTGCTTAGCCACTCACTTGTTTGTGGGTCATTGTCCATTGATCATTGGATGACAAAAAGAGAATGACTAGTCCACTTTGTCCACAAAAATATATTTAAGTAGGTATAAATTATGAGGCTTTTTATTGAAGAAGTGTTTATGGTTCATTATTCACTAGGTCGACTTTGGTCAATGTGTTTTGTGTTTTGCTGAATAAGTATACGCTATTTCCGTTGACCTGCAATGATCATGTTGAACCTTTTCACACGGTGTGGTTTGTAGTCATGGCTGGTGTTGACCACGCCTACCAGTATTCAGTCGAGGTGAAGAGCAGGTTCTCACTATTTCTGGATGATACCTTGAATAGTGAGGACCCGGATATCCTGCTATCCAAAATACAAACCAAACGAGCAGAGAAAACTAAGAAGGAGAAGTCTCATGCTCAGCCGCAGCAACAACAGCAGACTACACCTGCCAAGGTTGAAACGGTAGTCAAGAACGAGGCGAGAGCTGATACAACAGTCCCGAAAGGTTGGTGGAATTACAATCCTAACTGCTTTAGCTGCCCCTCGACCTCCAAAGTCTCCAAGTGCCACAGATCTACCACCGGTGTCATCAGAGGATGCACAGAACTTCGCAGTGAAGGAGACAGAGGAACCGACCAGTACTTTCGTTCGTGGCCGCGGATCAGGCAGAGGAGCGTTGCGCGGGATGCGTGGAGGCAGAGGTCAGGGTCCACGGATGGCTCCAACGGAGTCACCCCTTGACTTGGCAGGCGATGTGAATGCGCCCAGGTAAGTGGAATTCCTTATCAACGATGATTTACAAGAGGGTCTGGTTTCGAATCAAGAGGACGTGGAAGAGGCCGAGGAAGGGGAACGTTTGGTCGCGGACGTGGTATGCCGTTCAACTCAAATCGGGATTTTGACCATCAGAGTGGTCCTGATCGCCAGTGAGTAGCTTTTTCATTAGGTTTTCATGTTAATGATGAATTGTTATCCCTGTCCTATTTAATGCGGAAACATTATCTGATGCCTGTTTCGAATAACGAGTCACAACTAACAAGCCTCCTTTGTATTTGTAGAGGTCCGAGACAATATGGTAGGAGAGATGGAAACTGGAACCCACAGGATGTGGATGCTCAGGCAGCACCCGAGAGTGGTGATACAGAACAAGTTGTACGCTGGGAAGAGAACCATACTGAGGCAGACGAACAGTTGGTTAGTGCCCCAGAGGAGACTGAAGAGACGACGGACGGCGTTGTGGAAACACCTGTTGAAGAGGAACCTAAAAGCTACACGCTGGAAGAGTACAAGGCTATGCGTCAGTCTGCTAAACCGGCGGTTATCATAAACAACAAGAATCTCCGCAAGGCCAATGATGGCAAAGATGTGTTTGCAAACATGGTGGCTCACAGGAAAGTACAGGAGGTTCATGAAGATGGTGATGAGGTCGAAGAGAAGGAGAACGAGCCTGAGGTATGTTCCGTTTTGATGTACTTAAACTGGATTTGCTCTAGGCACAACAGCCGATAGATATTGACTTCTCGTTCACAGACGAGTTTGGAGGTCGTAGAAGAGGCGGTCGAGGATTTGAGAATAGAGGGTTTGATCGCGGACGTGGTGGCGCACGAGGTGCAAGGCCGAGAGGCGAGCGTGGAGGTCGGGGAAGAGGTCAGCTAAGAGGCGAAGGACGAGGCCGTGGGTTCGGTCGCGTTTTGCCCAATGAGGATCACATTCCGCCTCCAGCCATATACAGTGACCAGGAGTTCCCTTCCTTGAAATAAATTTCCAAAACACAAGTGAAGCAGATTTTTGGATTAGAAGTATCTCCCTTGTCAACATTTGGTTCCCTGAAGGCTATTAGCATTGCCCTTTACTTATTCATGCTCATCTTCTCCCCCTTTAAATATTCAGCTTTGTAATCTGGTTCCTTGTAAAAGCAGTTCAAAGACTGAATTTGTAATTATTATGGCTGTGTGCTGTTTGAGATCTGATTGCAAAGCCTTGTACATGAATGTTTTGCCAGTGTCACAGTTTCGCGGTTGACATGACCAATCGCCTTCAATAAACCTTGACAAGAGTACTCTTTGGCTTCTCAAAGGACTAGTTGCTACTGTACTTAGTATGTTTGTGGACCTTATCGTATTACAATCAGTGGACGGGCAGGTTGGATATTATATATGGTGTTTAACGTATAGCGTGCCAGTCTGAGTCTTTTGTCCGGATGAGCGAGTTGCTTAAAATCCGTGTCAATTGTAAGCTTTCAGGCATAAGGCGGAGGAGTATGGTTGGAGCGTCACGAGTACATACGATCAGTAGCATTGTTGGACCGAGTGGTCTTGTATTTGTGTATCTCGTCACAAGTAAGGCCAGTTAGTTTGTGGTAGGGATTCATTGTGAGTGATAGCGAGGTTAGTGTGATGTGTTGGTCGGATGACCATGGCGTGTTGCACAAAGTTCTGATGTTAACTGTCTGGTAATTGTACTCCGACGAAGTAAGAGTGTGTGGTTAGGGAGTTTGAGTGTCAGTAGTTGAAATCGTGTTCAAAATTAGAAGCTGGCTCATTTCTCTCAGCATGCAATCAGTCTTCTGCATCTGCCCGTGGCTCGTCATGCCTCTCGTAGAAAACAGTCAGGTCTCTTCCACAACTGTGAGTCATGATGGTGGGATGTGTAATGGCCGGTAGTGGGATGTCTATGTCGGGTTTGTGTCGAGCCTGCTCTAAGAGGGTGTACACAAATACGGGTGTTGGCTTGTCAGCAACAGTCCAATTGACTGGCTTGAGAATTTAGAGTAGGGTGAGATAGAGACTGACTACTCACTCGGTAAGCAAACAGTATGCGTTGACGTTAATTAGTGGAGATTGTGCTAACTAGAGATGGTTATTCACCGAGGAGGAGACGAGACAATCTTGAGTTCTAGTTGTCTGTTTGTGGTGAGGACTTTGAAGCACGCTGAAAGCCAGACGGTCTTCCCATCTCCCCAAGGAGTTTGCAAGTGAGTCGAGTTGGTCAAGGAGTGGAAGTGATGTGCTTTGCCTAATACCCTGACTAACTGGAAAGAAATCAAGGTATTCCTCACTCATTTATTACCACCCACGGCACAAACTTCATCGCAAATCATCGTCATTGTCATCACAGCCTGTCATATCCGACGTGGTTGTTGTCTGCCTCCTTTGTACAGAGAGATTTCCCATGACATTACTTCCTATTCCTGAATCGTGCCGCTTTTCTACTTCTTCTTACACTTTGTTGAATTGGACGGGAGCCAAACACAGCCATGCTAAGTCCATCACAATCGGACAAGTATTGATATAACCAGGTCGTCTCTCTCGTCGGCAGTACGTGCATGATCACAAATGCTCCGTTATGCGGAGGAAGAGACCAAAGCTTACCCTCATGAGGCATCTTCCTCTGGCCGTTTCTCATCGACAACCTATCCAGGTACCCGAGGAAGCAACGAATAAGGACGGCACAGACGAAGACGCCAAAGCCAAAGGCGAAGCAAACCTACACTACTCTGAAGCCAGTCGGGGAACCTTTGGCACTAAGCATAAACTCGAGATTCGGATTTTAAACACTAATGCCAAGTTGGTCAGTTCTCGTATATGGTCCAAGGAATTAGCGCGTCACCAGAAACACTTCCAATGGGCTACAGACTTCTACCAACACTCGCTTTCACTGACCCGCTAACGAAGATCGGACGGTCAGAAAGGATTGACAATAAGAAACTCTGCCAACCGACCAAACAAGAACCTATCGCCCAACAAATATGCCGACGGAAATGGAGATTGATGAGACACCCTCTGAGAAGATCGTTGAGTGATATCGCATACCAGGCAGGCCTTCGAGTAGAACCCGATTGGGAAACGACGAGTTGGGTGTCCGAGATTGAAGTGGATGAGATCGTGTGAGGCGGAGATGAGAGTCCACGAGCAATCTTGGAGCCAGCAAAAGATGACCTCAGAGGACAGGATGAAGTGGAGATGCGCTGTTGAGGCTCTGTGTCCCACTAGGAACCTAAGGGACTAATAGTAATGACAATAATAATGATGACAAAATGTCTGGTCACTCTTTTCAGCAGTCATAACATTGTCACTGCTTAGCCACTCACTTGTTTGTGGGTCATTGTCCATTGATCATTGGATGACAAAAAGAGAATGACTAGTCCACTTTGTCCACAAAAATATATTTAAGTAGGTATAAATTATGAGGCTTTTTATTGAAGAAGTGTTTATGGTTCATTATTCACTAGGTCGACTTTGGTCAATGTGTTTTGTGTTTTGCTGAATAAGTATACGCTATTTCCGTTGACCTGCAATGATCATGTTGAACCTTTTCACACGGTGTGGTTTGTAGTCATGGCTGGTGTTGACCACGCCTACCAGTATTCAGTCGAGGTGAAGAGCAGGTTCTCACTATTTCTGGATGATACCTTGAATAGTGAGGACCCGGATATCCTGCTATCCAAAATACAAACCAAACGAGCAGAGAAAACTAAGAAGGAGAAGTCTCATGCTCAGCCGCAGCAACAACAGCAGACTACACCTGCCAAGGTTGAAACGGTAGTCAAGAACGAGGCGAGAGCTGATACAACAGTCCCGAAAGGTTGGTGGAATTACAATCCTAACTGCTTTAGCTGCCCCTCGACCTCCAAAGTCTCCAAGTGCCACAGATCTACCACCGGTGTCATCAGAGGATGCACAGAACTTCGCAGTGAAGGAGACAGAGGAACCGACCAGTACTTTCGTTCGTGGCCGCGGATCAGGCAGAGGAGCGTTGCGCGGGATGCGTGGAGGCAGAGGTCAGGGTCCACGGATGGCTCCAACGGAGTCACCCCTTGACTTGGCAGGCGATGTGAATGCGCCCAGGTAAGTGGAATTCCTTATCAACGATGATTTACAAGAGGGTCTGGTTTCGAATCAAGAGGACGTGGAAGAGGCCGAGGAAGGGGAACGTTTGGTCGCGGACGTGGTATGCCGTTCAACTCAAATCGGGATTTTGACCATCAGAGTGGTCCTGATCGCCAGTGAGTAGCTTTTTCATTAGGTTTTCATGTTAATGATGAATTGTTATCCCTGTCCTATTTAATGCGGAAACATTATCTGATGCCTGTTTCGAATAACGAGTCACAACTAACAAGCCTCCTTTGTATTTGTAGAGGTCCGAGACAATATGGTAGGAGAGATGGAAACTGGAACCCACAGGATGTGGATGCTCAGGCAGCACCCGAGAGTGGTGATACAGAACAAGTTGTACGCTGGGAAGAGAACCATACTGAGGCAGACGAACAGTTGGTTAGTGCCCCAGAGGAGACTGAAGAGACGACGGACGGCGTTGTGGAAACACCTGTTGAAGAGGAACCTAAAAGCTACACGCTGGAAGAGTACAAGGCTATGCGTCAGTCTGCTAAACCGGCGGTTATCATAAACAACAAGAATCTCCGCAAGGCCAATGATGGCAAAGATGTGTTTGCAAACATGGTGGCTCACAGGAAAGTACAGGAGGTTCATGAAGATGGTGATGAGGTCGAAGAGAAGGAGAACGAGCCTGAGGTATGTTCCGTTTTGATGTACTTAAACTGGATTTGCTCTAGGCACAACAGCCGATAGATATCGACTTCTCGTTCACAGACGAGTTTGGAGGTCGTAGAAGAGGCGGTCGAGGATTTGAGAATAGAGGGTTTGATCGCGGACGTGGTGGCGCACGAGGTGCAAGGCCGAGAGGCGAGCGTGGAGGTCGGGGAAGAGGTCAGCTAAGAGGCGAAGGACGAGGCCGTGGGTTCGGTCGCGTTTTGCCCAATGAGGATCACATTCCGCCTCCAGCCATATACAGTGACCAGGAGTTCCCTTCCTTGAAATAAATTTCCAAAACACAAGTGAAGCAGATTTTTGGATTAGAAGTATCTCCCTTGTCAACATTTGGTTCCCTGAAGGCTATTAGCATTGCCCTTTACTTATTCATGCTCATCTTCTCCCCCTTTAAATATTCAGCTTTGTAATCTGGTTCCTTGTAAAAGCAGTTCAAAGACTGAATTTGTAATTATTATGGCTGTGTGCTGTTTGAGATCTGATTGCAAAGCCTTGTACATGAATGTTTTGCCAGTGTCACAGTTTCGCGGTTGACATGACCAATCGCCTTCAATAAACCTTGACAAGAGTACTCTTTGGCTTCTCAAAGGACTAGTTGCTACTGTACTTAGTATGTTTGTGGACCTTATCGTATTACAATCAGTGGACGGGCAGGTTGGATATTATATATGGTGTTTAACGTATAGCGTGCCAGTCTGAGTCTTTTGTCCGGATGAGCGAGTTGCTTAAAATCCGTGTCAATTGTAAGCTTTCAGGCATAAGGCGGAGGAGTATGGTTGGAGCGTCACGAGTACATACGATCAGTAGCATTGTTGGACCGAGTGGTCTTGTATTTGTGTATCTCGTCACAAGTAAGGCCAGTTAGTTTGTGGTAGGGATTCATTGTGAGTGATAGCGAGGTTAGTGTGATGTGTTGGTCGGGTGACCATGGCGTGTTGCACAAAGTTCTGATGTTAACTGTCTGGTAATTGTACTCCGACGAAGTAAGAGTGTGTGGTTAGGGAGTTTGAGTGTCAGTAGTTGAAATCGTGTTCAAAATTAGAAGCTGGCTCATTTCTCTCAGCATGCAATCAGTCTTCTGCATCTGCCCGTGGCTCGTCATGCCTCTCGTAGAAAACAGTCAGGTCTCTTCCACAACTGTGAGTCATGATGGTGGGATGTGTAATGGCCGGTAGTGGGATGTCTATGTCGGGTTTGTGTCGAGCCTGCTCTAAGAGGGTGTACACAAATACGGGTGTTGGCTTGTCAGCAACAGTCCAATTGACTGGCTTGAGAATTTAGAGTAGGGTGAGATAGAGACTGACTACTCACTCGGTAAGCAAACAGTATGCGTTGACGTTAATTAGTGGAGATTGTGCTAACTAGAGATGGTTATTCACCGAGGAGGAGACGAGACAATCTTGAGTTCTAGTTGTCTGTTTGTGGTGAGGACTTTGAAGCACGCTGAAAGCCAGACGGTCTTCCCATCTCCCCAAGGAGTTTGCAAGTGAGTCGAGTTGGTCAAGGAGTGGAAGTGATGTGCTTTGCCTAATACCCTGACTAACTGGAAAGAAATCAAGGTATTCCTCACTCATTTATTACCACCCACGGCACAAACTTCATCGCAAATCATCGTCATTGTCATCACAGCCTGTCATATCCGACGTGGTTGTTGTCTGCCTCCTTTGTACAGAGAGATTTCCCATGACATTACTTCCTATTCCTGAATCGTGCCGCTTTTCTACTTCTTCTTACACTTTGTTGAATTGGACGGGAGCCAAACACAGCCATGCTAAGTCCATCACAATCGGACAAGTATTGATATAACCAGGTCGTCTCTCTCGTCGGCAGTACGTACATGATCACAAATGCTCCGTTATGCGGAGGAAGAGACCAAAGCTTACCCTCATGAGGCATCTTCCTCTGGCCGTTTCTCATCGACAACCTATCCAGGTACCCGAGGAAGCAACGAATAAGGACGGCACAGACGAAGACGCCAAAGCCAAAGGCGAAGCAAACCTACACTACTCTGAAGCCAGTCGGGGAACCTTTGGCACTAAGCATAAAATCGAGATTCGGATTTTAAACACTAATGCCAAGTTGGTCAGTTCTCGTATATGGTCCAGGGAATTAGCGCGTCACCAGAAACACTTCCAATGGGCTACAGACTTCTACCAACACTCGCTTTCACTGACCCGCTAACGAAGATCGGACGGTCAGAAAGGATTGACAATAAGAAACTCTGCCAACCGACCAAACAAGAACCTATCGCCCAACAAATATGCCGACGGAAATGGAGATTGATGAGACACCCTCTGAGAAGATCGTTGAGTGATATCGCATACCAGGCAGGCCTTCGAGTAGAACCCGATTGGGAAACGACGAGTTGGGTGTCCGAGATTGAAGTGGATGAGATCGTGTGAGGCGGAGATGAGAGTCCACGAGCAATCTTGGAGCCAGCAAAAGATGACCTCGGAGGACAGGATGAAGTGGAGATGCGCTGTTGAGGCTCTGTGTCCCACTAGGAACCTAAGGGACTAATAGTAATGACAATAATAATGATGACAAAATGTCTGGTCACTCTTTTCAGCAGTCATAACATTGTCACTGCTTAGCCACTCACTTGTTTGTGGGTCATTGTCCATTGATCATTGGATGACAAAAAGAGAATGACTAGTCCACTTTGTCCACAAAAATATATTTAAGTAGGTATAAATTATGAGGCTTTTTATTGAAGAAGTGTTTATGGTTCATTATTCACTAGGTCGACTTTGGTCAATGTGTTTTGTGTTTTGCTGAATAAGTATACGCTATTTCCGTTGACCTGCAATGATCATGTTGAACCTTTTCACACGGTGTGGTTTGTAGTCATGGCTGGTGTTGACCACGCCTACCAGTATTCAGTCGAGGTGAAGAGCAGGTTCTCACTATTTCTGGATGATACCTTGAATAGTGAGGACCCGGATATCCTGCTATCCAAAATACAAACCAAACGAGCAGAGAAAACTAAGAAGGAGAAGTCTCATGCTCAGCCGCAGCAACAACAGCAGACTACACCTGCCAAGGTTGAAACGGTAGTCAAGAACGAGGCGAGAGCTGATACAACAGTCCCGAAAGGTTGGTGGAATTACAATCCTAACTGCTTTAGCTGCCCCTCGACCTCCAAAGTCTCCAAGTGCCACAGATCTACCACCGGTGTCATCAGAGGATGCACAGAACTTCGCAGTGAAGGAGACAGAGGAACCGACCAGTACTTTCGTTCGTGGCCGCGGATCAGGCAGAGGAGCGTTGCGCGGGATGCGTGGAGGCAGAGGTCAGGGTCCACGGATGGCTCCAACGGAGTCACCCCTTGACTTGGCAGGCGATGTGAATGCGCCCAGGTAAGTGGAATTCCTTATCAACGATGATTTACAAGAGGGTCTGGTTTCGAATCAAGAGGACGTGGAAGAGGCCGAGGAAGGGGAACGTTTGGTCGCGGACGTGGTATGCCGTTCAACTCAAATCGGGATTTTGACCATCAGAGTGGTCCTGATCGCCAGTGAGTAGCTTTTTCATTAGGTTTTCATGTTAATGATGAATTGTTATCCCTGTCCTATTTAATGCGGAAACATTATCTGATGCCTGTTTCGAATAACGAGTCACAACTAACAAGCCTCCTTTGTATTTGTAGAGGTCCGAGACAATATGGTAGGAGAGATGGAAACTGGAACCCACAGGATGTGGATGCTCAGGCAGCACCCGAGAGTGGTGATACAGAACAAGTTGTACGCTGGGAAGAGAACCATACTGAGGCAGACGAACAGTTGGTTAGTGCCCCAGAGGAGACTGAAGAGACGACGGACGGCGTTGTGGAAACACCTGTTGAAGAGGAACCTAAAAGCTACACGCTGGAAGAGTACAAGGCTATGCGTCAGTCTGCTAAACCGGCGGTTATCATAAACAACAAGAATCTCCGCAAGGCCAATGATGGCAAAGATGTGTTTGCAAACATGGTGGCTCACAGGAAAGTACAGGAGGTTCATGAAGATGGTGATGAGGTCGAAGAGAAGGAGAACGAGCCTGAGGTATGTTCCGTTTTGATGTACTTAAACTGGATTTGCTCTAGGCACAACAGCCGATAGATATTGACTTCTCGTTCACAGACGAGTTTGGAGGTCGTAGAAGAGGCGGTCGAGGATTTGAGAATAGAGGGTTTGATCGCGGACGTGGTGGCGCACGAGGTGCAAGGCCGAGAGGCGAGCGTGGAGGTCGGGGAAGAGGTCAGCTAAGAGGCGAAGGACGAGGCCGTGGGTTCGGTCGCGTTTTGCCCAATGAGGATCACATTCCGCCTCCAGCCATATACAGTGACCAGGAGTTCCCTTCCTTGAAATAAATTTCCAAAACACAAGTGAAGCAGATTTTTGGATTAGAAGTATCTCCCTTGTCAACATTTGGTTCCCTGAAGGCTATTAGCATTGCCCTTTACTTATTCATGCTCATCTTCTCCCCCTTTAAATATTCAGCTTTGTAATCTGGTTCCTTGTAAAAGCAGTTCAAAGACTGAATTTGTAATTATTATGGCTGTGTGCTGTTTGAGATCTGATTGCAAAGCCTTGTACATGAATGTTTTGCCAGTGTCACAGTTTCGCGGTTGACATGACCAATCGCCTTCAATAAACCTTGACAAGAGTACTCTTTGGCTTCTCAAAGGACTAGTTGCTACTGTACTTAGTATGTTTGTGGACCTTATCGTATTACAATCAGTGGACGGGCAGGTTGGATATTATATATGGTGTTTAACGTATAGCGTGCCAGTCTGAGTCTTTTGTCCGGATGAGCGAGTTGCTTAAAATCCGTGTCAATTGTAAGCTTTCAGGCATAAGGCGGAGGAGTATGGTTGGAGCGTCACGAGTACATACGATCAGTAGCATTGTTGGACCGAGTGGTCTTGTATTTGTGTATCTCGTCACAAGTAAGGCCAGTTAGTTTGTGGTAGGGATTCATTGTGAGTGATAGCGAGGTTAGTGTGATGTGTTGGTCGGGTGACCATGGCGTGTTGCACAAAGTTCTGATGTTAACTGTCTGGTAATTGTACTCCGACGAAGTAAGAGTGTGTGGTTAGGGAGTTTGAGTGTCAGTAGTTGAAATCGTGTTCAAAATTAGAAGCTGGCTCATTTCTCTCAGCATGCAATCAGTCTTCTGCATCTGCCCGTGGCTCGTCATGCCTCTCGTAGAAAACAGTCAGGTCTCTTCCACAACTGTGAGTCATGATGGTGGGATGTGTAATGGCCGGTAGTGGGATGTCTATGTCGGGTTTGTGTCGAGCCTGCTCTAAGAGGGTGTACACAAATACGGGTGTTGGCTTGTCAGCAACAGTCCAATTGACTGGCTTGAGAATTTAGAGTAGGGTGAGATAGAGACTGACTACTCACTCGGTAAGCAAACAGTATGCGTTGACGTTAATTAGTGGAGATTGTGCTAACTAGAGATGGTTATTCACCGAGGAGGAGACGAGACAATCTTGAGTTCTAGTTGTCTGTTTGTGGTGAGGACTTTGAAGCACGCTGAAAGCCAGACGGTCTTCCCATCTCCCCAAGGAGTTTGCAAGTGAGTCGAGTTGGTCAAGGAGTGGAAGTGATGTGCTTTGCCTAATACCCTGACTAACTGGAAAGAAATCAAGGTATTCCTCACTCATTTATTACCACCCACGGCACAAACTTCATCGCAAATCATCGTCATTGTCATCACAGCCTGTCATATCCGACGTGGTTGTTGTCTGCCTCCTTTGTACAGAGAGATTTCCCATGACATTACTTCCTATTCCTGAATCGTGCCGCTTTTCTACTTCTTCTTACACTTTGTTGAATTGGACGGGAGCCAAACACAGCCATGCTAAGTCCATCACAATCGGACAAGTATTGATATAACCAGGTCGTCTCTCTCGTCGGCAGTACGTGCATGATCACAAATGCTCCGTTATGCGGAGGAAGAGACCAAAGCTTACCCTCATGAGGCATCTTCCTCTGGCCGTTTCTCATCGACAACCTATCCAGGTACCCGAGGAAGCAACGAATAAGGACGGCACAGACGAAGACGCCAAAGCCAAAGGCGAAGCAAACCTACACTACTCTGAAGCCAGTCGGGGAACCTTTGGCACTAAGCATAAACTCGAGATTCGGATTTTAAACACTAATGCCAAGTTGGTCAGTTCTCGTATATGGTCCAAGGAATTAGCGCGTCACCAGAAACACTTCCAATGGGCTACAGACTTCTACCAACACTCGCTTTCACTGACCCGCTAACGAAGATCGGACGGTCAGAAAGGATTGACAATAAGAAACTCTGCCAACCGACCAAACAAGAACCTATCGCCCAACAAATATGCCGACGGAAATGGAGATTGATGAGACACCCTCTGAGAAGATCGTTGAGTGATATCGCATACCAGGCAGGCCTTCGAGTAGAACCCGATTGGGAAACGACGAGTTGGGTGTCCGAGATTGAAGTGGATGAGATCGTGTGAGGCGGAGATGAGAGTCCACGAGCAATCTTGGAGCTAGCAAAAGATAACCTCAGAGGACAGGATGAAGTGGAGATGCGCTGTTGAGGCTCTGTGTCCCACTAGGAACCTAAGGGACTAATAGTAATGACAATAATAATGATGACAAAATGTCTGGTCACTCTTTTCAGCAGTCATAACATTGTCACTGCTTAGCCACTCACTTGTTTGTGGGTCATTGTCCATTGATCATTGGATGACAAAAAGAGAATGACTAGTCCACTTTGTCCACAAAAATATATTTAAGTAGGTATAAATTATGAGGCTTTTTATTGAAGAAGTGTTTATGGTTCATTATTCACTAGGTCGACTTTGGTCAATGTGTTTTGTGTTTTGCTGAATAAGTATACGCTATTTCCGTTGACCTGCAATGATCATGTTGAACCTTTTCACACGGTGTGGTTTGTAGTCATGGCTGGTGTTGACCACGCCTACCAGTATTCAGTCGAGGTGAAGAGCAGGTTCTCACTATTTCTGGATGATACCTTGAATAGTGAGGACCCGGATATCCTGCTATCCAAAATACAAACCAAACGAGCAGAGAAAACTAAGAAGGAGAAGTCTCATGCTCAGCCGCAGCAACAACAGCAGACTACACCTGCCAAGGTTGAAACGGTAGTCAAGAACGAGGCGAGAGCTGATACAACAGTCCCGAAAGGTTGGTGGAATTACAATCCTAACTGCTTTAGCTGCCCCTCGACCTCCAAAGTCTCCAAGTGCCACAGATCTACCACCGGTGTCATCAGAGGATGCACAGAACTTCGCAGTGAAGGAGACAGAGGAACCGACCAGTACTTTCGTTCGTGGCCGCGGATCAGGCAGAGGAGCGTTGCGCGGGATGCGTGGAGGCAGAGGTCAGGGTCCACGGATGGCTCCAACGGAGTCACCCCTTGACTTGGCAGGCGATGTGAATGCGCCCAGGTAAGTGGAATTCCTTATCAACGATGATTTACAAGAGGGTCTGGTTTCGAATCAAGAGGACGTGGAAGAGGCCGAGGAAGGGGAACGTTTGGTCGCGGACGTGGTATGCCGTTCAACTCAAATCGGGATTTTGACCATCAGAGTGGTCCTGATCGCCAGTGAGTAGCTTTTTCATTAGGTTTTCATGTTAATGATGAATTGTTATCCCTGTCCTATTTAATGCGGAAACATTATCTGATGCCTGTTTCGAATAACGAGTCACAACTAACAAGCCTCCTTTGTATTTGTAGAGGTCCGAGACAATATGGTAGGAGAGATGGAAACTGGAACCCACAGGATGTGGATGCTCAGGCAGCACCCGAGAGTGGTGATACAGAACAAGTTGTACGCTGGGAAGAGAACCATACTGAGGCAGACGAACAGTTGGTTAGTGCCCCAGAGGAGACTGAAGAGACGACGGACGGCGTTGTGGAAACACCTGTTGAAGAGGAACCTAAAAGCTACACGCTGGAAGAGTACAAGGCTATGCGTCAGTCTGCTAAACCGGCGGTTATCATAAACAACAAGAATCTCCGCAAGGCCAATGATGGCAAAGATGTGTTTGCAAACATGGTGGCTCACAGGAAAGTACAGGAGGTTCATGAAGATGGTGATGAGGTCGAAGAGAAGGAGAACGAGCCTGAGGTATGTTCCGTTTTGATGTACTTAAACTGGATTTGCTCTAGGCACAACAGCCGATAGATATTGACTTCTCGTTCACAGACGAGTTTGGAGGTCGTAGAAGAGGCGGTCGAGGATTTGAGAATAGAGGGTTTGATCGCGGACGTGGTGGCGCACGAGGTGCAAGGCCGAGAGGCGAGCGTGGAGGTCGGGGAAGAGGTCAGCTAAGAGGCGAAGGACGAGGCCGTGGGTTCGGTCGCGTTTTGCCCAATGAGGATCACATTCCGCCTCCAGCCATATACAGTGACCAGGAGTTCCCTTCCTTGAAATAAATTTCCAAAACACAAGTGAAGCAGATTTTTGGATTAGAAGTATCTCCCTTGTCAACATTTGGTTCCCTGAAGGCTATTAGCATTGCCCTTTACTTATTCATGCTCATCTTCTCCCCCTTTAAATATTCAGCTTTGTAATCTGGTTCCTTGTAAAAGCAGTTCAAAGACTGAATTTGTAATTATTATGGCTGTGTGCTGTTTGAGATCTGATTGCAAAGCCTTGTACATGAATGTTTTGCCAGTGTCACAGTTTCGCGGTTGACATGACCAATCGCCTTCAATAAACCTTGACAAGAGTACTCTTTGGCTTCTCAAAGGACTAGTTGCTACTGTACTTAGTATGTTTGTGGACCTTATCGTATTACAATCAGTGGACGGGCAGGTTGGATATTATATATGGTGTTTAACGTATAGCGTGCCAGTCTGAGTCTTTTGTCCGGATGAGCGAGTTGCTTAAAATCCGTGTCAATTGTAAGCTTTCAGGCATAAGGCGGAGGAGTATGGTTGGAGCGTCACGAGTACATACGATCAGTAGCATTGTTGGACCGAGTGGTCTTGTATTTGTGTATCTCGTCACAAGTAAGGCCAGTTAGTTTGTGGTAGGGATTCATTGTGAGTGATAGCGAGGTTAGTGTGATGTGTTGGTCGGGTGACCATGGCGTGTTGCACAAAGTTCTGATGTTAACTGTCTGGTAATTGTACTCCGACGAAGTAAGAGTGTGTGGTTAGGGAGTTTGAGTGTCAGTAGTTGAAATCGTGTTCAAAATTAGAAGCTGGCTCATTTCTCTCAGCATGCAATCAGTCTTCTGCATCTGCCCGTGGCTCGTCATGCCTCTCGTAGAAAACAGTCAGGTCTCTTCCACAACTGTGAGTCATGATGGTGGGATGTGTAATGGCCGGTAGTGGGATGTCTATGTCGGGTTTGTGTCGAGCCTGCTCTAAGAGGGTGTACACAAATACGGGTGTTGGCTTGTCAGCAACAGTCCAATTGACTGGCTTGAGAATTTAGAGTAGGGTGAGATAGAGACTGACTACTCACTCGGTAAGCAAACAGTATGCGTTGACGTTAATTAGTGGAGATTGTGCTAACTAGAGATGGTTATTCACCGAGGAGGAGACGAGACAATCTTGAGTTCTAGTTGTCTGTTTGTGGTGAGGACTTTGAAGCACGCTGAAAGCCAGACGGTCTTCCCATCTCCCCAAGGAGTTTGCAAGTGAGTCGAGTTGGTCAAGGAGTGGAAGTGATGTGCTTTGCCTAATACCCTGACTAACTGGAAAGAAATCAAGGTATTCCTCACTCATTTATTACCACCCACGGCACAAACTTCATCGCAAATCATCGTCATTGTCATCACAGCCTGTCATATCCGACGTGGTTGTTGTCTGCCTCCTTTGTACAGAGAGATTTCCCATGACATTACTTCCTATTCCTGAATCGTGCCGCTTTTCTACTTCTTCTTACACTTTGTTGAATTGGACGGGAGCCAAACACAGCCATGCTAAGTCCATCACAATCGGACAAGTATTGATATAACCAGGTCGTCTCTCTCGTCGGCAGTACGTGCATGATCACAAATGCTCCGTTATGCGGAGGAAGAGACCAAAGCTTACCCTCATGAGGCATCTTCCTCTGGCCGTTTCTCATCGACAACCTATCCAGGTACCCGAGGAAGCAACGAATAAGGACGGCACAGACGAAGACGCCAAAGCCAAAGGCGAAGCAAACCTACACTACTCTGAAGCCAGTCGGGGAACCTTTGGCACTAAGCATAAACTCGAGATTCGGATTTTAAACACTAATGCCAAGTTGGTCAGTTCTCGTATATGGTCCAAGGAATTAGCGCGTCACCAGAAACACTTCCAATGGGCTACAGACTTCTACCAACACTCGCTTTCACTGACCCGCTAACGAAGATCGGACGGTCAGAAAGGATTGACAATAAGAAACTCTGCCAACCGACCAAACAAGAACCTATCGCCCAACAAATATGCCGACGGAAATGGAGATTGATGAGACACCCTCTGAGAAGATCGTTGAGTGATATCGCATACCAGGCAGGCCTTCGAGTAGAACCCGATTGGGAAACGACGAGTTGGGTGTCCGAGATTGAAGTGGATGAGATCGTGTGAGGCGGAGATGAGAGTCCACGAGCAATCTTGGAGCTAGCAAAAGATAACCTCAGAGGACAGGATGAAGTGGAGATGCGCTGTTGAGGCTCTGTGTCCCACTAGGAACCTAAGGGACTAATAGTAATGACAATAATAATGATGACAAAATGTCTGGTCACTCTTTTCAGCAGTCATAACATTGTCACTGCTTAGCCACTCACTTGTTTGTGGGTCATTGTCCATTGATCATTGGATGACAAAAAGAGAATGACTAGTCCACTTTGTCCACAAAAATATATTTAAGTAGGTATAAATTATGAGGCTTTTTATTGAAGAAGTGTTTATGGTTCATTATTCACTAGGTCGACTTTGGTCAATGTGTTTTGTGTTTTGCTGAATAAGTATACGCTATTTCCGTTGACCTGCAATGATCATGTTGAACCTTTTCACACGGTGTGGTTTGTAGTCATGGCTGGTGTTGACCACGCCTACCAGTATTCAGTCGAGGTGAAGAGCAGGTTCTCACTATTTCTGGATGATACCTTGAATAGTGAGGACCCGGATATCCTGCTATCCAAAATACAAACCAAACGAGCAGAGAAAACTAAGAAGGAGAAGTCTCATGCTCAGCCGCAGCAACAACAGCAGACTACACCTGCCAAGGTTGAAACGGTAGTCAAGAACGAGGCGAGAGCTGATACAACAGTCCCGAAAGGTTGGTGGAATTACAATCCTAACTGCTTTAGCTGCCCCTCGACCTCCAAAGTCTCCAAGTGCCACAGATCTACCACCGGTGTCATCAGAGGATGCACAGAACTTCGCAGTGAAGGAGACAGAGGAACCGACCAGTACTTTCGTTCGTGGCCGCGGATCAGGCAGAGGAGCGTTGCGCGGGATGCGTGGAGGCAGAGGTCAGGGTCCACGGATGGCTCCAACGGAGTCACCCCTTGACTTGGCAGGCGATGTGAATGCGCCCAGGTAAGTGGAATTCCTTATCAACGATGATTTACAAGAGGGTCTGGTTTCGAATCAAGAGGACGTGGAAGAGGCCGAGGAAGGGGAACGTTTGGTCGCGGACGTGGTATGCCGTTCAACTCAAATCGGGATTTTGACCATCAGAGTGGTCCTGATCGCCAGTGAGTAGCTTTTTCATTAGGTTTTCATGTTAATGATGAATTGTTATCCCTGTCCTATTTAATGCGGAAACATTATCTGATGCCTGTTTCGAATAACGAGTCACAACTAACAAGCCTCCTTTGTATTTGTAGAGGTCCGAGACAATATGGTAGGAGAGATGGAAACTGGAACCCACAGGATGTGGATGCTCAGGCAGCACCCGAGAGTGGTGATACAGAACAAGTTGTACGCTGGGAAGAGAACCATACTGAGGCAGACGAACAGTTGGTTAGTGCCCCAGAGGAGACTGAAGAGACGACGGACGGCGTTGTGGAAACACCTGTTGAAGAGGAACCTAAAAGCTACACGCTGGAAGAGTACAAGGCTATGCGTCAGTCTGCTAAACCGGCGGTTATCATAAACAACAAGAATCTCCGCAAGGCCAATGATGGCAAAGATGTGTTTGCAAACATGGTGGCTCACAGGAAAGTACAGGAGGTTCATGAAGATGGTGATGAGGTCGAAGAGAAGGAGAACGAGCCTGAGGTATGTTCCGTTTTGATGTACTTAAACTGGATTTGCTCTAGGCACAACAGCCGATAGATATTGACTTCTCGTTCACAGACGAGTTTGGAGGTCGTAGAAGAGGCGGTCGAGGATTTGAGAATAGAGGGTTTGATCGCGGACGTGGTGGCGCACGAGGTGCAAGGCCGAGAGGCGAGCGTGGAGGTCGGGGAAGAGGTCAGCTAAGAGGCGAAGGACGAGGCCGTGGGTTCGGTCGCGTTTTGCCCAATGAGGATCACATTCCGCCTCCAGCCATATACAGTGACCAGGAGTTCCCTTCCTTGAAATAAATTTCCAAAACACAAGTGAAGCAGATTTTTGGATTAGAAGTATCTCCCTTGTCAACATTTGGTTCCCTGAAGGCTATTAGCATTGCCCTTTACTTATTCATGCTCATCTTCTCCCCCTTTAAATATTCAGCTTTGTAATCTGGTTCCTTGTAAAAGCAGTTCAAAGACTGAATTTGTAATTATTATGGCTGTGTGCTGTTTGAGATCTGATTGCAAAGCCTTGTACATGAATGTTTTGCCAGTGTCACAGTTTCGCGGTTGACATGACCAATCGCCTTCAATAAACCTTGACAAGAGTACTCTTTGGCTTCTCAAAGGACTAGTTGCTACTGTACTTAGTATGTTTGTGGACCTTATCGTATTACAATCAGTGGACGGGCAGGTTGGATATTATATATGGTGTTTAACGTATAGCGTGCCAGTCTGAGTCTTTTGTCCGGATGAGCGAGTTGCTTAAAATCCGTGTCAATTGTAAGCTTTCAGGCATAAGGCGGAGGAGTATGGTTGGAGCGTCACGAGTACATACGATCAGTAGCATTGTTGGACCGAGTGGTCTTGTATTTGTGTATCTCGTCACAAGTAAGGCCAGTTAGTTTGTGGTAGGGATTCATTGTGAGTGATAGCGAGGTTAGTGTGATGTGTTGGTCGGGTGACCATGGCGTGTTGCACAAAGTTCTGATGTTAACTGTCTGGTAATTGTACTCCGACGAAGTAAGAGTGTGTGGTTAGGGAGTTTGAGTGTCAGTAGTTGAAATCGTGTTCAAAATTAGAAGCTGGCTCATTTCTCTCAGCATGCAATCAGTCTTCTGCATCTGCCCGTGGCTCGTCATGCCTCTCGTAGAAAACAGTCAGGTCTCTTCCACAACTGTGAGTCATGATGGTGGGATGTGTAATGGCCGGTAGTGGGATGTCTATGTCGGGTTTGTGTCGAGCCTGCTCTAAGAGGGTGTACACAAATACGGGTGTTGGCTTGTCAGCAACAGTCCAATTGACTGGCTTGAGAATTTAGAGTAGGGTGAGATAGAGACTGACTACTCACTCGGTAAGCAAACAGTATGCGTTGACGTTAATTAGTGGAGATTGTGCTAACTAGAGATGGTTATTCACCGAGGAGGAGACGAGACAATCTTGAGTTCTAGTTGTCTGTTTGTGGTGAGGACTTTGAAGCACGCTGAAAGCCAGACGGTCTTCCCATCTCCCCAAGGAGTTTGCAAGTGAGTCGAGTTGGTCAAGGAGTGGAAGTGATGTGCTTTGCCTAATACTCTGTCCAACATGTGGGAATTAAATTCGTTTCTCACTTCTGTGGGGCATGTCTTTTGTAAAATCTGAGTGTTTTTGATCCTTTGTTAGTTCTGGGACATTGGCGATTGTTTAGCTTTTTTTGGTTGCTTTTAATCAGCATGCAGATGGTGTCTACGCTTTTCTGGGACTTTTCTTTAAATGACTTACGGTGTTATTTGTCTAGTGCCTAAGTCGTAGTTGGTGTGCTGACCACATTGGTTTGTACTGTTCACCATAGCTGCATGTGTTGGTATTGTTTTTTGTTCGTCATGAATTTAGTGTGCTTTTGTCATTCCTCTCGGTGGGGGTGCTGTATTTCCAGCCTCATGTCGGACAGACATAAACATCGCTTCTGTTCGACATGAGAATATTCAAGTTTTGGTTTCCTTAATTGTTAAGTTTTGACTGATTTCAATGTTCTATTGGTTGATACCATGTCGTCTTCATGTGTCCGGTTTTTTTTATGATGTTATGTGCTTTATTTAGATGTGGGTTTGTAGTGCTAAGTGTGTAGTTCTGCTTCGTCTGTGGTTATTCTTTGTGTCATTGTATGGTAAAACTTCTATCAGTCTGTGTATGTCTACTTTGTTAATAAGATGAATGTTATAAGGAATAGGTGTATTGTCCTACCGTGTTTTCTAATCATTCTCACCCCACTTTGGGTGTAGGATACTTTATGTTTGGTACTTGTGTTATCCTTGCTATGTATACTGTAATGAAGGTCGACTCCATATGAATTTTCTTTAGTGTGGCTAGTCCTATTACATCAAGAAGCGACTGTACAAGTGTACAGGAGTCACTGTTGATGCGCAATAGTTAATTGTTTCAAGATATCCTTCCGATTTCGCCCTCACTCATGGATTTATGTAATGTGTGAGTCAGCAAATGTCTTACGTACTAACCGGTCTCTAATATATGCAAACGCTCTATGGCGGGATAGGGATTTTTGAGTTGTGATTTAATTAATCTAGTGGATGTAATGTGCACCACATCGATTGATGTGAGACTTTTGTTTAGCAATTTAAGTGTTTATAATTACATTGAGTGATCGGAACTATTTTCATCTCTAATCTCACTCGAGGTTTACCAATGACTGCACTGCCAAAACAGATCTAATCACCGGAGATGGTTAGGACATGTGTTACGTATGCCTAGTCATCGCCTCCCTCGACAGTGGGCGATGTTAGTTGATATAGGGTCAGGCTAGAAAAGAGCTAGCGGCGGTCAAACCAGTGAATGAAATCTACAACAGTTAGTCTGAGCCACGTAGGAAGGTGTAGACATCCTGACTGGTTGGGGTCCTCGAGACGGTAAAAACCAATCGTTGGAAACGATTGGTGACATGGCTCAAAATCGTTCTCGATGGCTGGCGCACATGCATCCACTCCTTGTGACGTATGATTTCCAATGAAACTGTTTTGTTCTTCGTTACTACTATTTCTTTGTCTTACATCTCTGTTTACTGTCTCTATTATGCATTTCTTCTGCTTTCACCTCTTGTTTTGTGTGCGACATGGAGTGTGGCGACTTGAACTATCGCACATATGTGGAAAGTTCTATGTCGAAAACAGACAGACAATCACCAGAACTCTGTAACATTAGTAAAACTATAGTTAGGTCAGGAGGAAGTTAATGGTGACCGCTAGAACAAAACCTAATGGCAGTGAACTAAGCTGCATGGCTGCGTAATTTATTTGATGCCTAGTTGGTTTAAGAGACGAAACGCCGCGTAATACTATAAAGTGGGTGAACGTTAGCGGATCGATACTATAAATGACTTTGTTCAATGTCGTGTTAAGTAGTAACTAGTCATGTTGATATTTTGGGTAAACAGAGAAGTACAGCTGTGATAAGGTTGTAAGTTTCTGTCGGCTCTGATCAGTTACAGTTGGGTTAGTTTTGAAAAGAGTCGACGGTATCCTGATGGTAAGACGACATGGAATCCTTAAAGAACTACGTTACTGTCAGTGTGAACCAATGTGAGAAGGTTTAGAATACAAAGTAGTTGTGCTTTCAAGGCAATTAGTGATGCATCTATGGTACCTGTGGATAATTTTGAATTGTGTCACTGAAAGACTTCAACTAGGCATCAAATGCTTTCCTACCTTGCTCAAACCATGTGTCAAATAAATACATGCTTTATCTGCCTAACGCAGCCATCTTCCAACTTATGCCCATTTCTCTCACTGTTGGTATTTTAAGAAAGCTAGTTTCTCAATGCGCATAACGTAAATCTATATAGAGCCACACACAGTGATATTCGGCACCGGTTCTCCTTTCTCTCTTATCGCTGTGAGACATGGTCATCTTAAGTGGAAGACATATTTAAGGCTTACTGTCTTTGATCGTAGGTGTCCCGTGAGTAGTATCGAGACTAGGCATAGTGTTTGGTAAAAAGGGAAAAGCAGTCGATGTTATGAAGCTATATCCATGTGCCAATTATGCCTAGCCATCACCTTCATCGACAGCCAATGATAGCTGGTGGCGGTCAAACCTAAACATGTATTCAGTCTATAAGATCTTTAACAGTTAGTCTGGGTCAGCCATGTTGGCAGGTGAAGGCTTCCTTGTTGGTATCGTCGAGGTTATATGAACCAATGGCTGGAGACAGTGTGATATGGCTTGAGATCGTTCCTAATGGCTTAGTGGCATTCAATCTTCGTGATCTGTATGCATTAAAACCGAGTGTTTCCCTACGCCACTATTCTTTCTCCTTCAATTTCCTGTTTAATATAGTCCTTCTTCTGCCTTTGTGGGCTACATAGAGTGTGACAACTTGGACTGCTGCTGTAGAAAGTTCTATGTTCAAGCCAGAAATACTGAAACTGACGACTTATCTCAATTCGCTATATAAAGGTTAGGTCATCAGTTTGTCTTGGTTTTATAGGCTCTCAGAGTTGTTCTTGAGGAATTTGTTAGCAAAGAGAAAAACTTCAGGTAGACTAACATCATACACACTTAGCTGTCATCTAAGTCCTAAAGAACAGAGGGGTATGTGTGTGACAAGGTTGATCAATCTCACCATTTCTCTTTAGATTTACCATTGATAGGGACATCTTAGTAAGCTGTGCGTCGTACTGGTGTAGGTCTGCTTCTTGAAGGAAGACTTTGAGTATACAGACGATATTGTCTTATTGTGTCATAACTTATAGAATACCGAAATTCCCACTTGATCAGTTGACGACCAATACCTGTAAGTATGGCATGTACTTTACGAAATATTGTTGCATGAATGACAGAAGCCTACAAATGTATTCACCCACGCAGGTGGAGCAGCATTTGAAATATTTGGTCCGGGTAACTAAATAAATGTATTAGTTCAGGAGAAGATATGAGGGATGAGTTCTCTAACCGTGTAATGGAAGCTTGGATAACATACGCCAATCTTAACCACCTGGCCGTCAAATATGGAGTTCAACATGCTTAGTTGAGTGCAGTGTTCCTATAAGCGTCACACCTAACTTAGACAAGCTGGCCGTGTGCTGGCAATCCACGTATTCGGTTATCACTGCATCAATAGAATTGTTTGCATCCGATAGTATTATTGTCCAAGCACTTCTAAGATCCAACGGCGTACTTTTAAACATGGTGGGATGGTATTTCAAGAAATGACGCCATCTTGAGAAAATGGCTACAATGAGGTATTTGACTCGATACTAATTGGTAGGTTGAGCCTAATAGTCGGATGAGAGGTACTTGTTGTAGGAGTCTACTTGGCAACAGTGCCCTTTCCCTGTAAAACATCGATATGCCTAAAACCAAAAGTTAGAAAATTCCTGTGGATTTCTTCT